TTAGCATGGTGATAGTGCTACACAACATGGTGGAAGTTATTTTCAATTTGAAGGCCGGACTTCGTCTCCATAAGGACTGTGTGATGGTCACTCTTAGTGATACTGTCTTGGACAGATGCAACTGCAGCTGGCAGATTGGTAAAGATGAAGTCAAGTATGTTTTTCCCTGTTGTTTGTTCCCTCACCACCTGCCACAGACCCAGTCTAGCAGCTCTGTCCTTTAGGAGACAACCAGCCCGATCTGTAGAACTGCTGCCGAGCCACCCTTGGTTGAGGACATTGAAATCACCCACCCAGAGTACATTTTGCGCCCTTGCCATCCTCAGTGCCTCCTTCAAGAATTGTTCAACATGGAGGAGTACTGACTCATCAGCTGAGGGAAAACAGTATGTGATAATCAGCAGGTGGTTTCCTTGCCCATGTTTAACCTGAAGCCATGAGACTTCATGGTGTCTAGAGTCAATGTTGAGGACTCCTAGAGCAACACCCTCCGACTGTATACCACAGTGCTGGCACCTCTGCTGGGTCTGTCCTGCCGGTGGGACAGCACAAAAATGCATTGGGCACTGTGTTGTATATTCTAGGTTGGTTATACTTCTTGAGCTAGGTTTTACCAACTGATCTTTCGCATTAAACCATTCTGTCTTTAGAACGACATAGAATGAGAGATGAATTGATAGAGGTGTACAAAATGATCAGAGGTATAGATAGAGTGGACAGCCAGAGACTTTTTCCTAGGGTGGAGGTAGCTATTACGAGGGGGCATAGTTTTAAAGTGAGTGGAAGTAGATATAGGGGAGACGTCAGAGGTAGGTTCTTTACTCAGAGTGGTCGGGGCATGGAATGCATTGCCGGAGAGGGTAGTGGAGTCGGCCTCATTCGGGGCATTTAAGCGGCTACTAGATAGGCATATGGATGATAGTATAAGGTAGGGGTGGAGGTTAGATAGACCTTAGGATTAGGGTAAAAGTTCAGCACAACACCGTGGGCCGAAGGGCCTGTAATGTGCTATACTATTCTATATTCTATGTCTGGTCCAAACACTCACCATTAGTCCATCGTCCAGGCACATAAACATGTTTGGAAAAGCAACTTGTTCTTTATAATTTGATTTGGTCTATTACTGCCACGTGTATCGAGGTACAGTGAAAAGTGTTGCTTTACATGCTTTACAAGTGCATCAGGGTAACAGAATAAAGTGCAGGATACAATTATATAGCTGCCAAGAAGGTGCAGAGAGAAATCAACATTAGATTCTCCTCGACCTAGTTACACAGCCTTATTACTCCATCTTTCATTATTTTTAGAACTGATCACATTCAAAAGCTATTGAAAAATACAATTTTCCTGAAAATTTCTATAATTTTTCTCTTGCAGCAGTATCCTGGAAATGATTCTACAATTTCTGGAAACATCAGGACAATTGTTAAAGTTTAACCAACTCACTTGGGCTTCTCCCTTCCTCAGGCCACATATATGCTGTGCCTCGCAGATCTGTCGTTGCCTTGCAAACAGCCATTTCAAATAGTCCCTGACAGCCTCATCAATCTTACAGACCAATAGTGATTTAATTTCTGCTGGCTTTGGGCAGAGTTCAAATTCAGAATGCTAATAATTGATAAAATCCTCACCACTATCAAATCTTGTAATGGTTTGGTTAAACTACATCTTCAGATGTCAACCTCTGGCACCATCTCATAATTTATCTCAGGTTTCTTCTGTAGATTCAATGCTGCCCATCCTTCTTATGACTATTAGTCTGCAGTATACATTAATGTATTCTAACACCCATAAGAAGGATTGGCAACAGTAAAGGCTGTCTACACAACAACAGGGAAGGATGTCCATATGACATCTTGGGCAGGAGAAAGGTTCAGTTTTGTCTAACAGTACATGACTTTTTTGCATATTATGTGATAGCTAGTTACATTGACATCTGGGATACATGATAGTCTCTGGTGAGCAATTAAGCTTGACTTAGTATGTTCACATTATCTGTACTGCTAGTGAAACATTCTGGTACATACATCAAATTACATTGTTACAACATGTTTGAAATTCAGGTTAGCTCCTCCCAGAAATAGTCCTTTATATCTTGATGGGTATAGCTTATCTGAGATAAACTGGTGGGGAAATGCCACTGATCTGGCAACATCTGTGGAGATAGAAAAAAAGGAGTCAACATTTCAAGTTCAACAACTTTGCTTTGGAATTTCTTCGGTCCTTATCTCATGTTGTTGGTTACTAATTAATTATGAAACAGATGAAAATGAGATTCTGGAGTGACATTAAATATTAATAAATAGTAAGGGCCAGAACACAGTGGGTGACACAAGGGTGGAGGAGTCCTGCTCAGAGTTCAAACAAATCCTTTTTGGCAGTTTTAAGCACCTAAATTGCAATGTAGGAATCATAAATTCATGGCGTACATGCAAACATCCTTGAACCGTGGATATGGACTGTTTAATTATCATGATCTTATGTTGTCTTCATGCACTATCTTTAAACTGTAGAAAAAATACATTTTCCAAAGGCTATTATTGGCAGACTTTCCAATAGTAATCTCCACAGAGAGTATTGCGTTCATAGCTTAAGGAGTCTTTGATGTGATGTATGAATATGAGTACAAATTTATAAGAAATTAGCCACTTGTTATTTAAAAGATTTAAAAACGCTTCATGATTGGACTTTTTCCACTATCAGGTATGTAGGTAGAGAGCAAAAACAAAGTTGCTGGAAAAGCTCAGCAGGTCTGGCAGCATCTGTGAAGGAAAAAACAGAGTTAACGTTTCGGGTCCGGTGATGCTTCCTCAGGACTTCTTTCATAGATGCTGCCAGACCTGCTGAGCTTTTCCAGCAACTTTGTTTTTGTTCCTGATTTACAGCATTCGCAGTTCTTTCGGTTTTTATTTATGTAGGTAGAGAGCATGGATTTTTAGATATTTATCTTATATCATATCTTCATGGCTTCTGATATCAACTAATGGTGGATACCAGGTGAAATGGCATTGTGTTGGCATGGAAGGTTTGCTTGCCCCATTGCTATTTCCCTTGGCCCTGTTACAGTACTTTCCTTTTGTTCTTTTTCCACCCTGCACTTGTTTAATATCCCTAAATTTTCAAAACTGGCTTTTGCTCTGAGTTGCGTGGCACATGTTGGGAAGTTTCCACAGCTCAACAAATCCACCTCAGCTTAAAGCGCCCATTCAGATTCAGGTCTTGCTTTCAAGGGCCTATTGACTCTGGAAATGGATCCTGCGCAGTTCTCTGTGATTTTGTCACAGTTGTGATAACAGCAGTTAGGCCCTCTATCCTTCGCCTCTCACACCCCGTCAACCCTAGCACACATGCTTCATGGCCCCACATATGTTTAATGCCAACTCAATGCCTATCCATACCCTCTGTGCAACTCAATGCCAACTTATCTCCCTCATCAGCCTCCATGACCCTTGGTTTCTCCCATGCCAAACTTAATGCCACCTCTTGTCCTCACTTTCTAAAACTCTATTTTGCAATTCCCCACAGAATCCATGCTAAATACAAAAGCAAAATGTTGTGGATGCCAGAAATCTGAAACCATAACAGAACCAGCCTGGCAACATCGGTGGAGTGAGAAAAACAGTAAACATTTTGGGGGTTGATGATCAGAACTGAGAACAGTTTGAAAAGTAATAGGTATGAAGGGAGATTGAAGGCTGGAAGGGAAGGTTAGAAAAAGAATAAAAGGGAAGGTCGGTAATAAGGTGAAAGACTAAAGGTGGTGCACCATCAAAGGACATGATAATGGCAGCAAGCAGAAAAAACAAGCGCCTAGAAAATAAGTTGGTGACAGAATTATATAATTATATCATACAGGCATTATTGGGTGGCTGGGATGTCAATCAGAGATGCAGACGGGACGCTGACCTCATTGGAATGTCACTTGCCCTGCCTCTCACTCCCTGTCAATCAAGACCTAGATCCCGCCTCTACGCCGCGTCGATTGGCGGGTGGGCGGGAGCCGCTTGGGGCGTCCATTAGATCCCGGGTACATCAATCCAAAGGAGGCGGGCGGGCAGCTCCGGTGTGCGGCCTTTTGATTGGTCGATAGAGCTGTCAGTCCGTGTCGGGGCGGGGCTATTTGGGTCTGAAGGTCCTGGGCGGGGGTAGTGGGTGATGACGGTTTTGGGCCTAGGTGATATTTTTGTTGTGAGAGGAAACAGTAGCTTGGAGAGAGAGAGAGAGAGAAAAAAAAACACCGGGGAGAAGAGAGAGCGAGGAAAAGGTCAAATCAAAGACGGAGGCGACTCGGAGACAGACCGGGCTCGATAACGGGGAGCGTAAACAAAATCTAATCGTGACATTTTATCTCACAAAATTTTGAAGATGACACTGTTTGCTGCGGGAGCCGGTTTGGGATGGAGGTTGGGAGGGAGCGGGTGGGTGATTTATGCCGGGCCGGGCGGCAGCTGGACGGATCAGGCCGCTACCTCCAGCAGGGCCTTTCGTAAGTGAGCCCAGTGTGTTCAGGCGAACACTGTGGAGCCGGGAAACCGCTTTAATTGACCACCATTTGGGCGGAGGAGGGAGGTTGGTGTTGTGGAAGACCCTGAAAATTTTCCCGTCTCCTCCGATGTCTCAGTCATCTTTTCTAGCTTCAGTTTCCCCCCCCGCCAACTAGATCTTCAAGTTATCCGCGCACGAGCAAACAGCGATTTTGTTTTCTTTTGTTGATGTTAAGACGCGAGAAGTTTGACTTTCTCTTTAGTGGACATAATTTCTGACTTTCTGGAGTTGATTGTGCAGATTTAGTGTATCTCAATATCTTGTTATGGACAAATACAAGTATAAGATTTTGCTTTTCTCCGGCGTTTACTTTTTCTTGCCTCTCTCCAAATTCGCTCGTTCCCCCCCCCCCCCCCCCCAGTTATTTTTAATTCATTAATCCAGTGCATTGTTTCTCATTTGTTTCCCGTTAATTTGTGATCCGATTTGGTCGAGAAAGTGTCAACGAGTTGGCATCTGTAGCGACGTCCTTAAGAAGTGTTTCTGTCTCTTCTTCTTCCCATCCACTCGCGTTCAATATATTTGAAATATTTTTAACTTTCTCTTCCTGCTCCCTCTTTCCATTCCGGCAACGGTCAGGCTGCATACCGAGTTTGGATGTTTAGAAGTGTTGAGCGTCATGAGTAATTGAGATTAGCTTTGTTATCAGTTTCAGAGGGTGATGGTTAGAATTTGTGTTCGTATGCCTTTTTAAAAAAACTAAGTTGATTGGATGTTATTTTACTCAGTGGTGCCCATTTCTGCAAGTACATAGAAAGGAAGGGAGTAGCTAAAAAGTGAATGTTGTTCCTTCAGGGATGAGACTAGCGAATTAATGATGGGAATGAAGAAATATGTATGTTGAAAAGTATTTTGTATCAACCTTTTACAGTAAAAGTCATAAAATTTCAGTAATGGGAGAAAATTGAGGGCAAAAGGGATGTAGAAACTTGAAAAGGTTTAAAACTTCAACTTGCAAAGTTGAAGTGCTAATGCTCACTGTTACACTGGACCAATGGCCTGCATCCGTATGATCTTAAAAGAGGTCCTATCAAGGTTAGTGGATGTGTTATTTGTAATCTTCCAGAATTCATTAAAAATGACATATCTAATCAAAAGAGTATAGAAACTAAAGGTCATTATGCATAAAATTGTTCATTAGAAAATGCTGGATCAATTGTAAGGAAGTCGTAGAAGGACATTTAGAAAACTATATTAGCTCTGCTTGGTTGTATTATGAGACTGAAATTGTGTTTCACAAGCTTATTCAGTTCCTTGAGGGTGTAACAAGCAGTCTGGGTAAAGGGATTCTAGAAGATGTTTGAATTTCCAAAATTCGTTGTGACGTCCCAGGTAAAAGGTTGCTCGTACGCACGAGTTAAGAGTTCATGGTGTTGGGTAATGGAGGTATTGTATTAGCATTAGATCAAGGATTGACTGACAAACTGGGAACACAGAGTGGGAATAAATTGGAGATTGTCAGGTCATCAAACCATAACTTATCAAGCGCCAGAGGGACCTCAACCATTTATGTCTGGATCTAATATAGAATGTAGGGACCGAGAACATTTTTGCCAACTTTGATGGCACAAAGATAGATAGGAAAGAAGTCTTGAAGAGGATGTAGGGAATCTGCAAAAGAAATTTGACAGTCTGCGGGAAACTGATGTATACTTTAGTAAAAAAGAAGTAAAAGTGCAATATTACTTCATTGGAAGAAGGTGCAGAGCATTGTAGTGCAGAGGGATTTGGGTGTTATTGTACATTTAAGACAAAAGTAAGCATGTACAGCAAGTAATTAAGAAGGGAAATGGAATGTTGGTCTTCATTTAAAGAACGGTGCAGTATAAAAGCAGGGAAGTCTTGTTACAACTATACAGGACATTGTTGAGACCTCACCGAGAGTACTGTACACTGTTTAATCTTTTATTTAAAGAAGATTAAGCTTGCATTGGTGTCAGTTCAGGTTCGCTCTAAGAATGAAAGGTTGTCTTATGAGGAAATGTTGAGCAGGTTGAACCTGCATTCAGTCTAGTTTAGAAGAATTAAACATGATCTTCCTGAAATGCATCAGATAGTAACAGGGCTAGACAGGATAAGTGTTGAGAGAATGTTTTTTTTTCTTGAAGGAATCTAGAACCAGGGACACAGTTTCAAAATAGTGATCTTCTTATTTGAGGCAGAGGTGAGGGTGAATTTCTTCTGAGGGTTGTTAATCTTTAAAGCTCTCTATCCACCAACGAACAGTGAGTGCTTGTCTAACTCAGCCTTGAATTCTTTCATATGCTTGATATGCAAGGAAGTTGACAGTATTGACAGACAGGCAGGCAGGAGCATGAAGTTAAATAAAATCATTGCTGACATGACTGAGGCTTTAATGGCAGAATTGCGTTTCTTTACAGAAATGGACAAATAACTACTGCTCCTTCTATTTCTTATGTTCTTCAGTAGGCCAGATTTCCTGGGTATCGAGGAACAGCATGAACTAACGGTATTCTTTCTCTTTAAACTTTTGTTATGATTTGTTTATACTTTACATGAGTTAGGAGTTCTAGAGCAAGAAATATGCTTGTGCCTGTAAGATTGTTTGTGATGATTCACTTTCATGAGGACAGGAGTGTTTTGCTGCTAAGCTGGAGCTGTGTTGCCGAGGCCACAAAGTCTAATTGTCAAGTAAACAAGCTCAGGTCAATCATTTAATTATCTTGTCTAGGAGTTTTGGAGACTGGGAAGTGCTTGTAATATTTAGTCTTCAAGCCATTGGTTGTTACACATTTGGAAGAGAGTATTAGAAATTTGATCTGTTTTCCATGTTTGCATGAAAATATTCAGCTCCCTGCTAATGTGCTGGAAAATCAGAATTGACTTTATTGTAAAAATAATGTTGTAATTGTGATTGAATTAGATCTTCAGTCATCTATTCACATTAAATGTATGAGCTAATATACACTGTTTTACAACGTGCAGAATCTTTGGTATCGAATGTGATAAACAAGAATAGCTATAGAATTCCTAAGTAGAAAGACTTCAGCAACAAAGTTTTTTTTTTTGTTAAGCATTTTTAATCCCTGATGTTCCGACCTTGGCTCCAGAAAAGCACATTAGCCTGAGTGAAATATTGTGCATTCGATCCCCGCTGCAGTGATTTTAAATTCATAATCTGGGCTACACCTGTGTAATAGTGCACTGCACTATTGAAGCTGCCACCTTTCAAATGAGACATTAAATCGAGGCTCCATTTTCCCTCTTGCGTGATTGTAACAGGACCCATGGCACTTGTTAAAGAAGACGAGAGGAATTCTGTTATCCTGACCAAAAAATTGTTGTACTGGTATTGTCAGCCATTTCACTTATGGGACTTTGTTGTGTATTAATTTGCTGTAGTGTTTCCTTGCATGGCAACGGTGAATACGTTTCCAAAGTAATACAGTGACTGAAATACTTCTGAGATGGCCTAAGGCTTTGAAAGGTTTTAGGCATGAATCCTTTTATCTTGCTTCCTTCATTTTGAAAAATGTGTTTTTAGTCTTGCCAGTTGCCAGCTGCTAGCTGAACTTTCAGAGAAACCTTGGGAAAATATAGTTAATGCTAAACCATCATTGTTAATGACGACAGTTAACCTTGATGTATACCAACTCTGCCACTTTTTTAAGGAAGGGAATTTATGCTCAGCCTTTGTTTTACAATACCTACGCTGGTCCAATTTTTCTCTGGGCAGTACTGCATTATTTTCTTCTTCTCAATTTACTGTATTAATGTCTGTTTTTCCAGATAGATGGTTGTAACTTAGCAATGGCCAGTTGGGTAAAGAGTCATCTTAAGTTTTTGCAAGGAAGTTCTTTTTTAATCCAGAGAGGCTGGGAATTGTTTCCTTTTATTTGTAGCCAGGAATTTCCTTGTTCCCAAGAGGAAAGAATACAGTTTCCTTTACTGAGACAGCCCTGGAAGTCATGGCAAGAAGTATTGTTATTTTCAGTTATTTGGGGAATGTGCCTCAGAAAACACAAGTTATGACATGACATGTACCTTATATTATTAGTATATATTATTTGCCCACAGTCTTGAAATGTAATTGAACTCTTAATTTTCTGACTGAGGAAGGCAATCGCATGTTCGGCTAACGACAAACAGAAACAAAAATGGTTAAAACAGCATTTCTTAAAGTACTCCAAAGGTTATACTGGACATGTTTAATATTATTTACAATTGCTGTAAATTGGCAACAGTCTGCTGAGTAATTGTTTCACAGACATTCATCACTGGTGTCATTTCACTGATAGAAGAGCAGCAAAAGTATGTTCCATGAGGTTTCTTCCAAAGAGCAGTGTGGACCTTCTCTACAATTAGATATTTTTATTTAACCTGGTTCATTGTTATTTTGTGGAGCAGCTGGACTTGAACCCAAACTTCCTGACTCAAGCCACTGCACCACAAAGTCCTGCTCCACAGCTAGGTATTCTTCAGTCAACCTGTTTAGAGATGTTATGACTCACCCGTGGAGCAGATGGGACTTGAGCCCGGGCCTCCTGGCTCAGAGGTACTGCCACTGTACCACAAAACTCTGCTCCACAGCTACTTTTATTTACCTATCTTTCAAATCGACCTGCTCAGAGGCTTTATTGTACACCTCTGGAGCACGTGGAACTCGAACCCGAGTCTTCTGGTCCAGGTGTAGGGACAGTCTCACTGTATCACAAGAGGGCCCTTCTACTCCACAGCTAAAACACAAAATTAAACACAAATCAGGTGTAAGGCGTCTGTCCAGTTCAAAGCAGTGCATGACTGTGACCCTGCACACAAACGGAATTTCATCTGTCGTGCCTCGCTTAGGGCAAACTTTTGGTAAAGTTTCACATGAATAACTGTCATCTGAATTCAAAGTAATAGAATTTCTGCTAATACTGCAAATATAGAGCAGTTGACTGCAGTTAAATTTGTGGAGTTGAAGGCAGGTTATTGGCCTAGTTATGTGGTAGAAGGTATAGAGTATGAATAATGGATGTATATTCAAATTAGTGGGAAGTGCCTAGTGATGAACCAGATTTGCTTCAGAGACTTGGTGAATCACTAATACTGATAATAGAGCATACGTCTGAATAGCTGATGATGAAGTTTGGTCGTGAAGTCAATAGCATAAAATTACAAAAAGTATTGATCGATTAAGCAAGTGAACAAAACTTAAAGTGCATCACAGTAAATGAGGCCATTCACTTTAAACCAAGGCGGGCTAGATCCTAGATTTAATAAAAATGGAATCTTGTTACAGTGGATACCAACGGCATTTTAGGGTCCTGTATAGATAAATTAAGGAAATATAGTGGTCACGAAAAAAAAATCACAAAATTTCAGCCGTTTAGTCCATCAGTCTTTTTTTCGAGGCGGTTAAAAAAATAAATTTTTCTATAGTCATACGAAACCTTGCTTGCACCATATCCAAAATGCAATGCTCTTTTCTGGACACCACAACATTTAAAGGATGTTTTGGCTGTGAAAGGAGCACCAGTAAAAACCCACACAGACAAGGGGAGAATGTGCAAACTCCACACAGATCGTCACCTGAGGCTGGAATTGAACCTGGGTCCCTGGCGCTGTGAGGTAGCAGTGTGAACCATTGTGCCACCCATGTCTCCTTTTTTGTCATACATTAAATATGTGCTCTTTGGTTCTTAAGCATACCACCACTGGGAATCGTTTTTCCTTATCTTTTCTGTCCGTACCTTTCGTGATTTTCAATACCTTTTCTCAAATCTCCTCTCTCATTCCATTCTCTTAAGGGAAACAGCCCAGCCTTTCCCAACTTATCTACATCACCGAAGTTCCTTGTTCCTGGAACCATTTTTGTGGTCTTTGCACTCTTAAGAGTTTCACAGCTTTCCTGAAATGTGGTGCCCAGAACTGAATACAATATCTGAGGTTGAACCAGCATTAAGTTTAATAAATGTAACAAATTGAGAGGTGATTTCATTGGAAGGTTTTAGGATTTTGAAAGGAAGTGATAAGATAGACTGCTTTTCCACATTGATGGGGGATGTTTAGGATCACGTGGCATCATAGCTGGGCCATTCAGGAGAGATGTTCGGCAACACAGAGTGGTAAAATTATGGAACGCTCTCAAAAAGCAGTGGAAGCTGTATCAATTAATATTTTACATTTATTTTTAATCTTCTTGTTCAGAAATGTTGTGACGCACCACAATGGCAGTTAGGTTTTAACCTGGACATTCTGAGCCAGAGGTAGGGTCACTAATATCTGGATCAGCACAAAGGATAGTAATTTTGAGCTTTAGTGTCTGAATTGCGTGCATGTAATTTTTTAATCTTAACTAAATGAGGAAGCAGTTGATGATAGGCAGGTAAATGGTTAACATTAGTGGAAAGGTAGAGAATCAGAGGAAACTGATTTAAGGTAATTTTCAAAAGGACAATGCTGACATGAGGGAAAAGCTCTTAAAGCAGGGATTAAAGGAAGGTGAAATCCAGGCTTCAATAAGAAAATTGGATTGTCATCTGAAGGGGAAAATACTTCAAGGCTGTATGGAAAGTTGAGAGAGTAGGACTAGCTGAGCTTGTATTGCAGATACCTAACACAACCTGTGTTTCTGATCAACCTGTTCAGGTGTTACTTCACACACTTATGGAGCAAGTCAGACTTGAACCTGGGTCTCTTAGTCCAAGGGGGTAGGGATGCTACCTCTGCGCCACAAGAGGGCTGCCAGAGAACTAACACACATGCAGAGGGCTGAATGACCACCACCTGCATCATATCCAATGATTCTCTGAAGTAATTGTTGCATCTTTCAGCAATGTGATGGAAGCAGAAACTCTGATTTTATTTTTGAGATGCAGAACTGGAAACTGATGAAAGGAGGCTGGAATTATAGCCTCATCTGGAGTGTTATCTTTTTATGTATTGAAGACCTCTTTCATAAAATCCTAAGTTGTGATTTGTCTTCATTGTTTATAAAATTCAGACTGGTGTCTTCTAACCCAATGATGGTATATGGCCCACCTAGATTTTCAATTAAAGCTCAACAGGAACCTTTTTAAAATGAATAGGTTACAGTGGTGCTTAAATTTGTATCAGCATTGATATATCTTCAATTTAAAACAATCAAACAACAGCTCTCAATCAAAACAACAGAGATTTGAGGATGTAGGGAATTTCACAGTTGTCTTTTTTCACTATAGTTTGCTGCACTTAAAACCTGAAAATTAGATTATCTAATTTGCTCACTCAGTCCTTTTTCCTTACTGTGACATTTGGCCTTTAATCATAGAATCCCTACAGTGTGGAAACAGGCCCTTCGGTTAAACAAGTCCACACCGAACCTCAGAGCATCCCACCTAGACTCGTTCCCCTGTAACCCACCTAATCTACACATCTCTGAACACTACGGGCAAATTAGCATGGCCATTTGCCTATCCTGCACATCTTTGGACTGTGGGAGGAAACCGGAGGACTCTGAGGAAACCCAAGCAGACACTGCGAGAATGTGCAAACTCCACACAGATAATTCCACCCTTGGGAGACTGAACCCGGGTCCCTGGTGCTGTGAACCAGCAATGCTAACCACTGAGCCACCGTGCTGCCCCTAGGGATCTAACCTTTTTTTTTAATTTTAGCGGTAGGTACGGGGCAATTTCTGCTCACTAAAGCTGTTTAAATCCCTGCAAATATTGCATTACGTTAATATGAAATACTTGTACCTTACTCCTTGAAACAAACCAAGGGAATATGTTTCTAGCTTTTGTCCTTATTTACTGTATGGAGAACATGATTGAAACTGTACGCCTATAAATATCAATGTTGCACGTTGAGAGGTTGAATTCAGAATTTGACAACCAACTTGCACTGTTACAGCACTGAAGTGCTACTTTTGCCCCTAATGTGTAGGTAGCAAATCACAAATATTTAATGACCGTTTTTTTTTTGCCCTTCTAATGCAGTTCCACCGATACTGAGGATGACTTTCTTCCAATCTGGTGTTGTGGGTCCTGAAGTGACTAAACAGGCTGCTGCATCTGCACACCCTGCTACAGATGGGACAAGTGGTGTTTAAAGAGGTGGAGGGATGGGTGCTCAAGTGTTCGCATGCTGTTTTGGTTCTTTGCACTTGGCCTTTACCTGAGCCTGTCACAGATGCTCAGGATGGTTGGCACCTTTGTATTGCTGCTTCTCCAGTCTGGGTGGTCTTGAGCAAGAGATTCCCATCGAGTCAGTGGGCATGTTTTTTTTTTAATTTCTTCCATAAGAAAACTTTGAGGGCATCGTTCAAAAATTCCTTCTGCCCTGGAGAACTGTTTGCTGAGACAGAGCTCAGGGTAAAGACCCACTTTTGGATGTCTTCTGTCAGGTGTACAGATGGTGTGACTGGCTCAGCACATCTTATTGTCAGTAACCATTACCTCTGTTACCCCAAGAGAGGGCACTGATACTGGAGTACATGTCCTGCAATTTGACTTACAGCGGGATTTTGTACAAAATTGCAATGGTCAACACCATATGTTTCCTGACCTCTAATATCAGTCATGGCTGAAGAAGTTCTGGAGTTTGATTTACGTTCAGCACAGTGAGTTATTCAAGGTAGGTTGTCTTGCATTATTCATATTGATTTCAAAGTACAGCTGAGAAAAGACTTATAAATTTAATACTTGTTTATATTTTTCTTGCATCTTTTTAAGCAGATTTTGGAATGAATCCCAAAACCCTGTTTCTTTTCCAGTTTTCTGATCTGTTAGCCTTTTACCTTTGGCACGTTAGAAGTAAAAATGGGCTCTGTGGATGAGATACAATGGTTTTTTTTTCAATTGACTTATTTATGTTGATGCTATGTCATGGCTGACTCAATATGATAAATAGCATTGAGTAAAGCAAGCCATAAGTCAGTCATAACTTTGTCATTTTTGTTATCTTCTGAAATGCATGTTGTTTTATCATTTGTCAGCCCTGACAAGGACAAGTTCTATTTATGTTGCGTTTTAAAATCTCTTCAAAGGCATTTTGCGTCTCTTCCCTCCGCCAACAGCACACTCATGTGCAGCGCGTGTGCGCACACACTCACACTTTCTTAGTGTATCACTGTCACTGTCAATCTTCATCAGCGGCAGCGCGTTCTTCTCTTTGAGTTAGAAGTTCAGTTCAAGACCCCCGACAGGATTGAGTTCATGGTCTGGATTGGTGTCTTGCACATTAATGGGGATACTACAATGCCAGAAGTGTCAGTTTTTGGATAAGATGGCATCCAAGACCTATTTGCCTATTCAGATGGATGCAAAAGATCATGTGAAAATCAAGAAGTTATGCAGTGCCCTGACTAATGGTTATTTCTCAACTCGTGCTATCAAAATAAATTGATTTGTTATTTATTTGCTCTGTGCAAATTAGCTACAGTGTTTCCCTGCAAATACACTCAGCCTCAATTGTGACTCCCCAAATATTTAAGCAGCCTTTGTCTGATCTGTGCAATATCGTGGTTTGGGTTGACGAATGGAAAGTAATATTCGCATCAGACAATGACCATCTCCAACAAGCGAATCGAACTATTGTCACTTGACACTCAATGGGTTTATCATCAATGAATCTCCCACTATCAACATTCTAAGGGGTACCATTGACCAGAAGCTAAGAACCCTGCAGCAATAAGTTACCACCTAAGTCTCAAAATCTGTTCGCCATCTGAAAGTTACAAGTCAGTAGAGTGATGGTATATTTGCCACTTGCCTGGTTGAGTGCAATTCCACCTCTGAAGAAACTTGACACTATCCAGGCCAAAGCATCCCACTTGATTGGCCCCACACTAGTAAACGGCCTCTACCACTGACCCACAATTACAGCAGTGTGCCCATTTACAAGATTCACTGCAGAAATTTACCAAGGCTTGTCGGGTCACACCTTACAGATTCTTAACCGTTGTTCATCTAGAAGGACAAAGGCAGCAGAAACACAGAATATCACCACCTTCAAGTTTCCAGCTAATCCACCAACCTTCATGACATCAAGCTGATGCCGATCCTTCAGTTTCACTTGATGAAAGTCCTAGAACTCCCTCTAACTGCATTTTAGGCGTATTATACCAAATGGACTGCAGTGGTTCAAGAAGCCAGTTCATCACCACATTCCCAAGAGCATCTGGGAATCGATAATAACTGGCCCAACCAACAAAAGTGACATCCCAAGAATTAATTTAGAATTTGGAATTAGAATTAGTTTTATTGTCACGTGCATTCAAATGAGTGCAGTGAGAAGTGTACAAGTCACTGCTTATGGTACCATCTTATTTACAAAGGTCCCTAAATAAAGCTTCTTCAGTTACAGTTCTTAGAAAAATAGAGAGGTTAAAAATTCCAGCATTGCAGATTTTAGGAATAAATTATAAAATGGAGAAAAAACAAGTCCATGCTGGCATCTAGCCCCCAGTCTGCCTGACTCCAGACCATGCCAGCCTTCGCCTCCGGATTCACAAAGCTGGGAGATCGCTCTGGAATCACTTAGAGACCAGAAGTCCAATAGGTGTTGTTAGCTTAGCTTTGGGGCACAGACTCATCTGCTGTCTTTAACTTGAGGTAATTAACTTTTTTAAAACTGTTCACTAGTTTAGATGGCTGTAATTATCTGGTTGTGGTGAGATAGGAAGAGCTATTAGTGCCTCCAGGGAAATATTGTCAAGGAGTTTCTGTTTACCCTTGAAAATGTTAATTGAATTTCAAAAGGTCGCTTGTGATATCTTCCTAAGATTAGTGTAGTTTAGTCTCAGTACCAGCTGAATCTTCAGAGGTAGTCATGTGACTTCTCAGCCATTTTCTTAGCTGCTTTGTCCATTTCAAGCCAGATTACATATTTTACTTAAAAAAAAAATTAACAACATAACCATGACTCTTTCTTAATTTATTGAATTTATTGTCTCAGTTGTAGGACGTGACTGGGAGAGGACTAAACCTCAAGTTGAAAGTCTAATCTGCCTAACATATCACCACAAGTCCAGCTTCAGTGTTCAAGTGAACAATGCGATATTTGAAGATACATATTTGGATTGAAAATTTGAATGAAAGCTAAAGGTAATTGATGAATAGGTGCACATAAATTATCTTTGATTGAAGTTTCTTTGATTTGATTTCACGTGTATGCGATAGCTCTGTCATCCACACTTCTCCAAACTCCTTCCATATTAGTGAATTGTCAGATTGTGTAGTTGCCATCCAATGTGAATGAGCAGAGATTTCCTCCAATTAAATAGAGAGGTTTGAAGCCAATGCATTTTCTCTCAATTTCAAACACTTCTGTACCAATTTGATCCCTCTTACTGACAACAGTAAGACTAAAACCACTTTATTTGCAATGTTTTTATCATACTTGAAATCCTAATCCATACCTTTTTACCTGAATATGACTATTTCAACATACTGGTGCGTTCTCTCACATCATTTCTCTGTGAAATGAGATCACCTAAAATTCTCCTCCCTATAATCTTAACACCAAGTCTCACTCACCTATCAAGCCCATGCTTGCTAACCTACACCTGGCTCCATCAAACAACTTCTTAACTTCTCATCCTTGTTCTCAAATTGCTCCGTGGTCTTGTCCCTTCCTATCACTGTTATCCCAGCAACCATTGAGACATCCATGCTTATCTATCTTTGGACTTGTGAACATCCCAATTTTAATTAGTACTATTGTTGGCTGCTTTCAGTTGTCTGGATTCTTAGCTCTGGAATTCTCTCCCTACACCTCACTGCCTCTGTACCTTGTTCTCTTCATTTAAGACATTTCTTAAAACCAACTCCTTGCCCAAGTTTATTTTGTTTGTTCATGGGATATGGGCATCATTAGCTAGGCCTGTAATTATTGTGTACCCCAGTAGAACTCGAAAGTCAACCACATTACTGAATCAAGTGCTGACCAAAGTAGAGAAAATGCCATGTTTATTTTCCCATTAGTGAGCCAGATGAGTTACTATGACAGTCAACAGTAGTTACATAGTCGCTAGATTTCTTTCCAACTTCAGATTTTTCTTTTTTTGTTGCATTCGTATTTCCCCATCTACCATGGTGGGTTTTGAATGTATGTCTCTAGAACATTAGCCTAGGGTTCTGGATTGCTAATCCATGAACACTATTCCATGCTTACTCAATATTTTAGTGATCTAACCTAAATCTCTTTGTGGTTCAATGATATATTTTATCATGCTCCTCAGACGTGCCTTTTAGATGCCTTATTATTTGAAAATACTGTAGTCGTTAACACACACTTAGTGTGGCACCTAGCCATATTGGTCAAGAAGTTCTCTGTTTTGACATGCTTCATTAGCCACACATTTGATGTTCAATGACTAGAATCATACTGAATGCATAGATCTCTCTAAGAATTTTGACCCAAGTGAAGTACCCTCAACCTCACCATCTTTAGCTGCATAAATTGCCTTCTCTTCTTCATAAAATCTAAAATGTAGCTGCCGTTGCTTTGCTTTCAGCTCCGAGCACAACTGTGCTGAGACCTAAGCAAGAAAGAGGGTAAATAATGTTTTAAAAGGCTCTGTGCTGTCTAGGATTGAGAAGCCAATTGATTGGTGCTTGTGCCATTCAGTGTCTGCCCCTTCACTATCAGCTACAGTGTAGTTGGAGAATGTACTGTATTTCACCAAAATGTATTTTTATCAGTCCTGTGACCTCCAGCATTGTGATAGGCCAGAGTAGTGTTGAAGCATTGTAACCATTGTGGCACACTATTTTAACTTAAACGTTTTTTATTGCTGGGTCAAAAGCGCTACCTAAAAATAATTTGTACAAGGAGTGCAGCAGTTCAAGGAGGCAATAAGCAATAAATAAAACTGCGTCAATGTTGTCCTTGCCCTGAGGATGGTAAGGTTTTCACAGCTGGTCTTGGCATTCCTGGAAGTTGATGAGAGAAAAATTCATGGTTATTAATCCTAATTACTATCCAGCAACAATTTTTGTGGAAATTGATGTGTGTGGTGAGGACTGAATTGTTGTGTCTGCGAATGAATTAGAATGATGGTTGAATGCAGGACAAAAGTAATTGATGAATCTGAAAGTGGTGTGGTCGAGCATACTTCAGTTGAGTTAAAAAATCTTGGAGAGCTATGCATCAGGTATATTTCTAGTTATTGTGACTAATATAGCATGTCAAAATATAGGATTTCCTGACAAGTATGATTAACTTTCAAGTTTGCCATTCATGGCTACCACCTTTAAATGGAAAAGACAGATTTAAAAGAATTTAGAAAAAAAGACTTGTTTATTTCAACATCTCTAGCATTTAGATTGATGTGCAGGCCGATTTTGTATTTTAGCTATCCTAGTATAATGTGATAATTTCTTGACGTGTTTTTCCATGAGGCTGGAACTCATTGTTTTGCCTAACACCTGTTTAGTGGTTGGGGGAAAGTTCCCCGTTTATAGGATTTTCTGGGCCGACCTACTATTCTGATTAAAATTTTAGATAAACACAATCCATAAGGCTCACCTCCCTGAACCAGCTCTGGGAGCTAGCTCTGCATTTAGTTCAATAACTCCAAGCTTTCCTTTTTTAAAATCTAATAATCTAATTCCTTCATTTTAAAAACTATTATTAGTTGTGAATTTATCTGCTACTGATCTGTTAGCAGATGCTCTTAACAATCCACCTTGGAATTCTTGATTAACTCTGTTGCTCACAATGTTAAAATTATGCCCTCTGGTTACCAACTCATTGACAAGTAAGAGTAATTTATCCTCTATTTTATCACATTGTTTGAGAATTGCTGCCAAATGAGATCTTCAGCCTTCTTACATTGGGGGCAAACGCAAGTGTGTTCACAGAACCGTCAGCTGAAGACAAGTATGTTTCAGCCTGCTATGAGGCAGACTAGGCTTTGCAACAAAAAACAGTTACTTATATGTATAATAGCACCTCTTTAATGAAAACTGTAAGTTTCTTTCAAATTCGAAGCACTTGGTAAACATTAATTTCTGTACAGAACTGGAACTGTTTAGGTGTTGGATAATGAAGGTAAGCACTCGGTAAAACCTGCCTGTAGCTCTGGTCTGAATCTTCCCAACAATTTACACTCCTCCTTCCAATGACAAAATAAAGGAGGAAGCAATGGTTACACGCAATTGAATTATCTGTAAAGTACCTTTTAAAATTTCAGGTTGCCTTCATTTCATGTTTGAAGCCATTTTGAGAATAGTAGCATCTTAACAATTGTATAAAAGATATAGCTCAATTTTGTGTTGGTTGCGAGATATATATTTGTAAGGAAAAGGGAATCTCCTTTTTGGAATAGGCCAGTTGGAGCTTTTTTCAGTGTCTCATTAGAAAGACAGCATTTTCCGCAGTGCAGCACTCCCTGGTGTCATTCTAGCTTGTGCACTTAAGTCTCTGGAGTAAAATTGAACCGATGACATTCTGACTTGGAGGGAAGAGCATTACGATAAGGCTGACAACTTTGGCAATGCAATGTATGTGGAATATGTTTTTTGAATGGAAACATTTAGGCCAGAGAGTCGTTTTTTTCTATTCATTTTATGGGATGTGGATGTCGCTGGCTGGCCAGCATTTCTTGCCCATCCCTAGTTGCCCTTGAGAAGGTGATGGTGAGCTGCCTTCTTGAACCGCTGCATTCCTCCTGCTGTGGGTTGACCCACAATGCTATTAGGGAGGGAATTCCAGGATTTTGACCCAGTGACGGTGAAGGAACAGTGAAGGACAGAGTAGGACATTTAAAAGGAGCCACCATTTTTAAATGAACAGATGTAAGTTTAAAATGAATTGTTACCCATGGTGAGTTCAACCTTCATTGGAAGAACTGCTTATATTAAATTCACTTATATCCTTTGACCTAACATTGAGGGCATGACCACTTATTCAACTCTAGCGTCACAAAAATAACTTAGGTCAGTCTGGTGCGCTTGTAAACTTTCTTGCCCCATTGAATTGGTATGTGTGTCTCCATGCATGTTCTCAAAATGAGTGAGTGAGCAGACTTTCTGGAAAAACAAACAAATGAAGTTGATTGAATTATGTTGCAATGCCTCATTTCATTTGATTTTTTTTTTAGAAACTGTTAAGCCATTATCTGGTTAGAGGTGACCTTGGCTTAAGAAATAACTTGTGTTACTGTCTTGTTTTGTACTTGTTTTAATAAATGCAAATTCATTCTTAATGAGTTATTTATTAAAGCTTGGGTGATGAGATTCTAAGTATTTTCTAATCCGCCTGTTCAGAGATGTTGGGACACAGATGTAAGACTTGAACTGGGCCTTCTGGTCCAGAGGTAGGGACGCTATTGCTATGCCATGAGCTCTCTTCTAACCAGCAGATACGACTGAATTCCGTTTTCTAGGCAAGCAGGTCACCATCATCCTTCTCAAATCTGAAGTTTGAAGCTATTTTCTAATCAATTTGATAAGAGATGTCATTACATACATCTAGAGCAGGTGGGACTTGAACCCAGGCCTCCTGGCTAGAGGTGGGGGTACTACTACACCATAAGAACTTGTTGTGGTGAGATTCTATTGTTATTTTAATCAACCTGTTCAGGCACGTGATGCACTTCGTTGAGTAAATGGGACTTGAACCTGAATTTCCTGACCTAGAGGCAGAGACACTACCACTGTGCCATAAGAGTCCTTGTGGTGAGATTGTACATACTTTCTAACCAGCCTGTTCGAGCAGGGAGGGCTTGAACTTTGAATCCAAGACTCTTGATTCAGCGGCTACCACAGTGCAACAAGAGTTTCCCTAATGCACAATAATGGCCCCTGCAGGTCACTTTGATTTTCATTAGCCTTAAATGTTAACTGCTATGAGTAAATTTTAGATATTTTCTAATCACATTGTTCAAAGGCCATTATTGCACACCTTGGAGGCAGGTGCTACTTGACCTGAGACAGGACACACACAGGTTTGTGAGATGCTATTTTTTATATCCAGAAATACTCTTCGACCACAACTGAGTGTTTTTCTTTTTGTTCCCCATCACCAAATCGCCCATAGTACTTTTTCCATTTATTAACCACCACCACTAAATCACCCATGTTGTCGGATTGATTAATTTACATGCAAAGCTCATGAAGGGCACATGATGAGATTCTAAAGTTGAATCTGTGATTGAGGCCAGCTCAGCTAGTATATTGAGAGAATGGACACTGACTAAATAAATCTAAGTTGTATAGGTAGCAGAGATAACAAGGTGTAGAGCTGGATGAACGCAGCAGGCCAAGCAGCATCAGGGAAGCAGGAAGGCTGACGTTTCGGGCCTAGACCCTTCTTCAGAAGAAGGGTC